ATATTTTATTCAGTGTTAGTAATATTTTGGGTGGGTCCATTTAAAGAAAAAAAAAAAACCATGGAAAAACTGACACGCATGCAAAGGACGGAAACCGAGATGGAAAGCACGCTATTCCCAGGTAGCGGACGGAGGGAAGCTGTCAGCCTGGGGAGACCATCCTCTGGTTCCAAAGGCCCAGACTAAGCTGCTCTGTGGGCAAGAAGCGGGGTTTGGGCTCTGCTGTGGAGCAGTTTCAGAGGCAACTTGAAAAGGAATCTGAGGCACTCCAGAGGAAAAGAGAAGTTTCCCTGTCTGGAATGTGGTAAACAGAGGCTCATCCTACGTTAGGTGCAAGGTCGGAGAGGAAAACCACTAGGTCCCCTTCCAACTCCAGAATTCTACACTCTCTCGATATCTGTCATCCTTTCATTTATGCAACAAATATTCATCGAGCATCTAACATGTTCCCCACACTAAACAGTTTGTGCCCACTCGTTACTTCTATTCATGGAGGAAGGCAGCCAGTTAAGAAATGAATTGATGTTATCGATAATGTCAGGTAATGGTAACTAATACAGAGAACAATGGAGCAGAGTAAGAAGCGCTATTGGGTACGGGGTGTTCAGGGAAGACAGTGAGGTGACATTGCAGCCAAGGTTTAGAAAATGTGAAGCAATGGATGCATGAGGCCTAGGGACAAGGGGAGGCAGCCAGAAAGCAGGAAGGACAAGCACCCAGGTCCCAAGACACACAAATAGACCAAGGCTCTGAATGTAGCTGATCAATCCAGCTCTGGGCCTAATTTCTTACCCAAGCAGTTTACGAACTATGTATTGTTAGATCTAAGATCTCATTCTTCAATATCATCCTAAGACCTATAATTTATTAAGTTCCTACCAGGTGCCAAGCTTTGCTAAACACCTTAGGTATTTCACTTCTAATTCCCACCCAAACACTGCAAGTTAGGTCTTACCATCCCCATTTTAAAGATGGGGAAACTGAGGCTCAGCGCTCCCTCTGTATTTTTCATCCAGCTCTAACCTACCCCACTGGGAAAGTATGCTGTTCACAGTTCATGGGTACATGCTTGAGGTGTATGGATTAGGCCCAGTGCACACTCATCTACAAAAAGGGACTGAAGGCTAATACAATACAATCACACCTGAAACTGGATGGCCCACCATAGGCTATTTGTATACTTAAACTTGAAAAAAGTACTGCAGGGACTTGGCAGGGAAAATTTAGTGTTTGAAGACACTTTTTGAGCATTCCTCTTTAAACCTGCAGAATTTAAAGTTAGGATAATGTCTTTTCCTTTGCTGCTCCTCAAAAATCTCTAAATCTTAGCCTCGATATTTCAAAAAACAAGATTTTATCCTAGAACCTTGGAAGTGTATGTTCTGAGTTGACACAAACTCCTTTAAGTTTCCAAGAAAGTAATGCAGACAGCTGAAGGGGGGGGGGAGGGAGGGTGTTCCTGTACCTAGGAAGGGCATAGGCAGGGACACGCCAGTGAGCAAAGGCTGCTGTGTCCTCTGTCCGCACCACAGTGCCCATGTGGTCTCCCAACAACCCTTCCTTGTCAGTATCATCGGGCGTTTCCGGTCTTCCAGCTGGTGGGGCCCTAGTAGGGGTTTTGCTCTCTGTACCTTCCAGTGTGGCCTTTGCACAAGAGCAGAATTGTGTCCAACAGTCCCGGGTTCCAACTGCGCAAGGCGTCTTTACAAAGACCTCCGTTTTGCAGTCCGGCGCAGTTAGGGAAAAGGGCGCGCTTCGGCGCAGAGAATTACTGTATTTCCCAAGCCCCGCTACTCCCTCTTCCTGCCTTCTGACAGCTGGAGGTTTTAAGGTCCTCTTTTGAGCACAGCTCTTTGAAAATTTAAATGAGATGTGAAGTTGTGTTATAGAAACCAGCCCCCTGTCCTGCCCAGTAGGGCTGGCGTGCAGGTGGCGCGCCGCAGACGGGGCTGCCACGCGGTCCCGCCACGCGGTCCCGCCAGTCCCAGCTCTCGGGTTCCCCTTCCTTAAAACGACACCAGCCATCTGGGGGCTCGCACTCTCGAGGATTTCCATTTCCAAGTTTTCTGTTTATAACATTCTTGGTTCTCAGAGCTGCTGACAGGTGATAATAACAGAAATGAAACTGATTTGAATTTGAATTTGAATTTAGTTCTCAACCTCACTATAGTGGTAACAAAAAAGTCAAGGATTATCCTGGGCTTGTCAGAGTTTGCCCGCAAGTCCCAGGGCGCCCCTCCTTGCCTGCAGGCCTGGTGTGAATACGGCTGAAATAACGTATGCAAGGCACAGCTGAAATAATGTATGCAAGGCACCGATCGCAGTGTTCCTTCTTCTCTAGCAATTGTAGCCATTTCAGAGGAGCAGCTGCTTGGGAAGTGAGAGCTGCCCTCTTGAGTTTACACAGAGGCTTCTATAGATTTGTTCCTCAAAAAGGAATGCTTCCTTATAGGAACAGTAAACTAGGAGGGTCTGAAATGCATCTTCTGCTTCATAACCTTGTAACTCATTTGCAGAATTGGAGACGTGCGCACGCCTGTCTCTCACGGGGCCTAAGCCTTCCTTCTGGATAAGGTGTCCTCTGAACCCCACACTGGCCAGCTGGGCCTTCACTTCCATTTGAGGCCCCGCTGAGATGTAAGAAGGGAAAGGACTTAGGTGTTTGCCATCGGGAACAGGAAGTTCTGGCCTGTCCTGGGCGCAAGACTGAGGCGGGAGGAGGGACTCCCTGACATCCGTCAGATCACAGTTGATGACCGCAGCCCTCACCCTCCAGCCGCAGGGAAGGAGGTTCCTATCCGTCTTGCCAGGGGACTGGACAAACACGATGTTTAATGGTCTCAGTCATAACGGCAGCAGCACATATTTATTAACTGCCTGCCAGACGCTGTAGTTTTCCCCTTTAATCCCGATCGCAACCCTGCGAGGCAGAGGCCACAATTACCCCCAGGTAGCCAAAGCCCAGTGGTTTGCCTGATGTCACACAACAGTGTGGGTGTGTCCACATGCACACTGGAAAGGTCCTCTGTCCCTTCTCAATGAAAACCGCACGAGCCCACCCATCCGTCCAGCTGAATGCCCCGTGACCACACGCAGGCCCACTGCTGGGCCCCCACATCAGGGGCTCTGGAGAGCCCCCCCACCCCCAGCCCGGGAGGCGCACAGCATTGGGCTGACGGGTCGGGTGTGGAGAATAAACTCCTGGCTGTCAGGTCCGCATCAGGGTGTCTCCCAGCTCTGCAACATGTCGCCCAGAGAGTCTTTTCTGAGTGTTCTGGGCCCAGGCTAGGGACGGGTTGCCACTTGCTTTCGGGGCGGGGGGGGGGGGGCGGTCACCAGGGAGGCTCCGATGTGGGGTGACTGCTGAGTGCACACTTCTCTTCTCGGGAAGATCAGCTGCCCAGTTTCTGTGCCCCGAAGGTGTTTTCATGCAGCAAGTAAAGCAAGCCTGGAGACGACACCGGGGTCAGACACTGCGTGTGTGCAGGGGAGGCAGGAGGGGCGCTCAGCAATCTGACGCCGCAGGGAAACGAGAACTTGCTCACGGGTGAGCCACACTCCCAGAGAGCAAGCAGTCCGGGCCATTCAGCCTGGGAACAGGCCGCTCCTGACGACTTCATTGTGTGGGAGCGTTTTTCAATTTATCAAACACGTGTGCCCCTGCGTGCACACCTATGCACAACATGTATAAATTATGTGCCAGGCACTATTTAGCCACTTTACTACTATTAACTCATTTCACCTTCAGCAACCATGGGAGGTCAGTCCTGCTGTTATCTTCGTTTTACAGGCGGGGAAACTGAGACACAGAGAGGTGACTTAATCCAGATCCCAGAGCCAGGGTCGCCCTCAGCCAGGCGATCCCGTAATTCAGTATGACGACACTTAACTCTCATGAGGATGTGTAATATTTCCAATATACAGATACTGTGACGAAGAAACATGTAATACATGTAATACATAGTTTTATGCAAAGGAATGTCCTTTAAGTTTTAGATACTTTTACGAATAAGTTCCAGTTATTTAGAAAATTCTCTTTTTAAAGGAATATTTCCCCTCCCCCAAAGAAATTGAAACAGGTAGCATGCATTCTAAAAGAAAAAAGTCAAAGGATGCAAACAACAGCGTTAACCCATGAACTTGCTTTATGGACTCTGCTGGGGCGACACAGAGCCCTCGTCTGTGACACTGTGAGGCAGGCAGGCGCTTTGCTCCTGTGCTGTCTGTGTGGATTACCGACCAGGAAGCCGTGGGCTTTGGGCGAGGCAGCCCAGCCAGGTGAGGCGTGGAGCTTAAATCCCAGCCCTCGCGGAGCCTTCCTAGAGTGAGCAACCTCCTGGAGAGAGGATGGGTACGTTCAGAAGTAACCGTCGTATGGAGGCCTGAGGCCTGTTAGCAACCTGTTTTGTTAGCGAATGAATCAGCACTTTTGCCTTTCTTCTGCATCCCACACTTAGCCAATGTAGTCCTAAAATAGGTTGTATTCAGTGAGTCCTTGTTTATTTTTTTAAAGATCCTGTTTTAATTTAGAGTGGATTAAAAGGAAGACATTCCCCTCTGTAAAATTGTAAATTCCGGGCATGGAGTGTAGCTGTCCATGTGAGCAGCCCTGGCCACAGCCGAAAGTGACTTACTCGTTGTTCATTTCAGTGCCTCTTGTTCATGAGAAACTGGTCTCCGGAATGGATCGTCCATTTAGTAATCTCTTGGTGAAGGGCTGCATCTTATATGTGCCTAGTATGAGTTCTTACCACTATAAAGGGTTTATGTGGGGCTTGGTAAAACTTACATGTTTTGAGGTATATGCAATTTATAAATCAATATACACAGTTTATAAAACACATATTTATGACATATCTACCTCTTGCCCAGTAGTTGCTGATGAAGCCTGTGTTTTGGTGCAAGGAGACGTATGCTGAGAGAAAATTGACACATGTCACTGTCTCAGGCTTGGCCTTGAATGTCTCATTCACGTGTCATTCTTCTCTCTTCCCTTCCAGGGTCGAGATTACTGTTCGGAAGAAGAGGATATCACATAGCACCAACCTAACACTCAAACCAGGAGCTACTACTGTGTAAATAGGTGACACCCCAGTTGAAATCTTTGCAAAGGTCGGTCCTCTCCAAGGAACAGCACTATAGCAAGAGAAGATCGTTCCATATCGTATGCCCCATTAAATTACAGTGTTTAATTTACTTGCAGAGGAACTTGCAGAGGAATATTGCTAAAAACAAACAAACAAAAAAAAACTGTTATCGAACTCTCTTTGTTGCTGCTAGGTAAAACTTGTTGCAACTTCTCACTCCTCTTGTGTCCAGGTATGCAGCAAAATTCTGCGACTTTACCCGAAAGATACTGTTGGTTTTCCAGAGGCCCTCCAACCTATTTTCTATAAGATGAGGTAGTGGTGAACTCAGATATCAAACTTCTATTCTAGACCGGTCCGCTTCTCAGCATCTCCTTCCCTCCCTCCCTCCTCCCTGCCTCTCCCGAGAGGTCCAGAGCCTTGCTTCTCACAGGCGAGGTTGCGCTTGGGGGATGGGATGGTTGCTATGGCAAGCCTTGTCTTCTCTACTAAGAAGAAGTAGAGAGACTCTTACCGATTTAAAGCTTGTGGTGACCTGACTCCTGGGAATGACCCAGGAGCGAGCAGCAGGTTGTTTCACTTACTAGGTATCTACTCAAGGATTAAGCTTGCGACATTGGCTTTGCTCAGATGCAGACGGAAGTGTGATCACAATCATTTTGAATCCCTCTTCCCCACTTTTTTTTTCTAAGAAAATAAACATTTTACTGTTTTTATGTATCCTTGTCTTCTCCCATTCATCCAGTTCAGTGCTTTCCTTTGATCCTGGGTGTGGAAGATGAGCCCTCCTTTGCAATGACAGCGATAATGGCTCTCTACCCTCCCATTAATATTCTACCGAGCATTAGCTGGGCAGCAAGTGGTCCCAGGACATGAGGGGACATCCCACGGCTTCTTAGGAGGACCCGAAACCACCCCGTTAGCTTCATTTTTGTTAGCGAACCAACCATCCTGTTTCCTCATTCTCTCCCTTCAGTGGCCGAGGAGCCCTGTCACTTCCGTGTCCTCTCCCTTGCAGCCCTGCCTCGCACAGTGAGGAACGTTCGCCCAGCTGAGAACGGGGCGCGCGCGCACTCTGGTGACGATGTTTGGAGATGCGAGACCTGAAGCCCCAGGGCAGGCCTGGGGACTGGTAACTGTGGGTTTGGTAGAGTTTATTTTTCCATATTTTATGAAGAGAATGATCTCTTCCCAAAGACAGAAGTAATATTTTTAACAAATGTTGTCACAAGTCAACAGCCATCAAAAGGAGAAAATAACTTTTGTATTTTTTTAACGCGTTTGATAGCTTCGACGAGGGTTGTCTTTGTTACTTCCTGGGGAGGGCGCCCTGTCCAGTGCTGCGCCAGCCGTCCAGCTGTGGGCTCGTCCCCCAAAAACGCAGGAGAAGCCCCACCTGGTTCTCTCTCGGGGGGGTCGTGAGTGTGCCCGGCCTCGCCATCGGCCGCACAGCCACCCTCTGGCGTGGCGTGGTTGGTATATGCCGGGTAGTCAAGAGATCACCTGCCACAGAATAGAATAAGAAGCTAAATTGGTTCTTGCTGAGAAGATGAGCCCGGACTTTAAAATCTAGCCATGTAACTGACGTCACCATTGATGAGCTAATGGTGAGACTCCTCACCTCCTGTTAGACCCAGGGCGCAAAAGGGGAAGGACGGAAACTCAGTCAAGAGCTATAGAAAATGGACTCAAATGTTAGCAACAAAAGCCCTTCATTCTTCCAGCCAGCAGCAGCTATTTTGGGGAGCAGCTGTGGTTGTTACATAAATAGAGAAGCAGCCAAAATTTAAGGCTTTTTATCCTGCTTCAAGCAGAAAAATGCAGGGAGAGTCGAGTCGCCTAGGGTTTGAAGCTCCCTCCCGTTGTTTGGTTTTGGCCAAGTAACTAAAATAGTTTTCCTCAACTGTAAACGAACTGCGGAGCCCCACCTCAGACGTGTCCACTGAGGACTTTGTTCACTGCTATGCGGATGCCCTTGTCCCTGGGATTTCTTGTTCTCATGAAGCAAATGCTGTCTTCCACGTGACCCCTCCACCGTCTCAAGTAGTGTCTTCCCAGAAAATCACCGCCTTCTGCCCGAAGATGAAATGTGCTCATATCATTTTCCTTACAGTCATGTTTAATGTTTGGACATGACACACGTGTACACAACACCACGTGTTTCTTGGGAACCGGACTTTTGAGTGTCTCGTAAAACCAGAAACTGGTTCCCGTGAAACAGTGACTTTTCACCTGGAGTCCCGGTTCCAGTTCCAACACTGGAAACCTCTTTGAAGTCCAAAAGTGATTTATCTGCAGACGTATTTGGTACATCTAGAAACAGATCTGAGGACTTGGGCGGTTGAGCAGGTTGGCATGAAATGCTTGATGATGTGAGAGCAACACTCAAAACTGTCTGTTTTCCATTTGTTGGTTTTTAATCATAAAATTATCAAGTGATTTGTGTTTGTACATTATTTGTTATGCCTTCTGAAAGGGTCTAAAGCAAAACTGTTTTGACTTTTTTTCCCCTGCGTATCTGAACGGTAAGCAGATTGGCTCAGATACAATGAAAAGAATAATCCAGAAGCTTCTACTGGCTGTGATCTCTGATGCTCAGGGAGATGGAGGGAGGGAGGGAGGGAGGGAGGGAGAGAAATGGCCCCAGTGGATGGAGGTAGAAAAAGGATGAGAAATGGACTGAGGAGCATTTAGCCGAGTTGATAGCATGGCTGTGCGCCGCCTGTAATCCCCAGTCCAGCTGCCTGGCGGCCGTGGGTGGGTCGGACCGTCCGTGAGATTTACAGCTGGATGACACAGGCCTTCTGTGCTCCCTGCTGCGGAGTTGTCAAAGTTCCGCGAGTGTGCGTGGCGTTCTTTGAGTTGGCGGAGATTCAAGATCACGGAGTACTGCTGTCGTAGCCGGAGACGTGTCTGTTGCTGGCAGAGAAGCCTGACGCAGACTTTTACCTCAGTGATGCCTCCTAGTCCCAGGCTGGGGCACAGAGCGGTGTGACGGTCTGTTTAGGGACATTAGGTCCAGAGATGAGAAAGCCAGGCCCCTTCAGAATCAGCAGCAGCCTCCACGGGCCTGCTGGGAAATGCGCCTCTGCCCCTCGGCAGTGGCCATGGGCTTCGATGACCTGGGTGAGAGAGGGCCTGACTGAGGAGTAGCCATGGTCAGTTAGTCACTCCTGGGCCCCGGCGCCCCTCCCCCGCTGCCAGGTGTGGCCACCCCTGCACCCTGCAGCCCCCGGGAGCCAGCCCAGGGGTGACGGCCCCACGTCTCTGCCCTATGGGATGCCACTCCACTTGGAATTATAACTTGGTCTTTCCAGCTCCGTGGAGACGGCTTTTTGGCCCTAGGATCACACTCTCCCCTGAGCCTGCTAGAAACAGAGATTATACCTCGTCTGAATTTTACCTCAGGAGCCCATGATGCGGGTCGGCCTATTGATTGCAAGACCTGCTTAGACACCAGGATTTGTCTAAATTCTGGGCCAGAATTTAGAACAGAGTTCCATCTCTACCCATCTTGGGGGTGGGGGTGGCGGTTTGGAAACGAGGTTTAAAATGTCAGCTTTATAGGGAGAAAAACTGTTAAATTCTTACTCCAGGAAAATACTGACTCTCAGTCTTGGATTCTGTAACTCTAAAATGTTCCTTACAAAAGACAAAACAATTGGTTACTAAGGCTCTCTCCTTCCTCCTCCCAACTCCCTCAGTAAAAATTTAAAATAAATTTTTAAGTTATTAGATTGCACTCTATAATTTTATATAAAATCTGCCTTCCATGCTTTTCCCCCCAGAAGGCATTCTCAGAGCTTTATTTCTTTGTGCCTATCAGAAATTAAACTTTTTGTTACGTTACTCAAACCCCACGAGAAAATAAGGCATGGTGGTAGGGGGAGAGACTATGTATTTGAGGGCATAATGAAAAGGTGGCTTGAAGCAGGAACCCTGGCTTCTCAACGTCCCAGGTAAACTGTGGCCCCCACACGCCTGTGTTAAGCTGAGTGAGACGACCAGCTCCCCCCCGTCCCTGCAATAAACCTTCGAAATTTCGTGAACGGGTCTGTGAACTGCCTTGTGCCAATGACTGGATGTGTTTCCCCAAGGCGGGGAAATGTCCTTGACTTTAGTCACCTTTTTGTATGCCTCTGCCAAAAGGCCAAAAAGCTGTGGAAGAAAATGAGGGTGGCGGGTGGATATATTCCTTTCAGTGACAAACCTTTGGACTCCCCAGCCATGCTGTGTTTTTCAGGAGACTCTTATACTGTATCTGGGATCTCACCTAATCTTGAGAGAAGAAAAGGAGCTAATACTTAATCACTTGTACTCACTCGGTGCCAGATGCTGTGCTAGGCCATGTCATAACCCTCTCGTGTAACCCTCTAATCACCCTGGGCAGCGAACCTCTTCCCTCATGTCCTAAGGAGTGTATCTTACGTGCAGAATACATCTGTCTGACATAAATGCCCATGTTGAAAGAAGGAAAGATGTCATTCTAGTATTTTCCCGACTTCTCTAATATTACTCTGCCCTTTGCAACACTGTGAAAACAACCCTTGGGGGCACCTACCTTCCAGAATCTCCCTCAGGCTCCTCAGCTACTTGGCTTCCCCGTGCAGAGGGTTTTACGTGGCCTTTCCCTATCTGATGAGCTACACACAAACCAGGAGAGGCCGCTGGCTAATATGACATCGGCGCCCCAAAGGAGAAGGCTCTGTGAATTTAGGCACGTGGCTCTCCCCTGGGAACTTTTGTCACATCCGGAAAACGAACCTGGGACTTCTGTGGTTAGACACCAAAGGCAGCCAGGACAGGCATCTGAGTCTGTGATTTCTTTTCCTGGTCCCAAGGCTTGTTTTATGACAGGCTGCGCCTTTTTTAAGGTGAAAAGCCTTTACCTTGCAGAGAAATTTGGGAGAATCTGATCTTCAAAGATGGAGGGAGTGTCTGACTACTGACTTGAAATCTGTTCTTGTGGGCTGGGGTGTGAGATCTCATTTTGATCTTTGAACAGGGGGTCTGTATCTTCTGGGCTAATTTAAGCGCCGAAACTAGATGTGAATCTCATTAAAGACCTTCAATGTTTGGGATAGTGCTGTAGCAACTTGGATGTCATTTAAATAACTTGTCCCAAGGAAAGGGAGCCCAAGAATTTCCCCAACTTTCTCTCCTTGCTCCTAAAAGCACATCCTCTACAGAAGATGACTCACGTCTCCATAGCAACTGTGAAAGGTGCTGCCTAGAGAGGACCCGCCCCCACCCTCACTTATTTAGCTCGAAGGAATCAAAAGAATTTCCTTGTGTAGAGGGGGTTCCTATGCCCAGTTTTCCTATGAAAACTGTCCCCAAGGTTCTGCCTTTGACCTGGTAGCTGTCAGGTTCATTCAACATAATGTGGGAAATGGCTCCTGTCTCTTGGAAGCCAGAGAAATTGCTTTAATTCAGCAAGATTCACCCGTAAACCAAAAGCCTCATTCTAACACTGTCTTTCCTCTCTAACCCTGAACACTCCCTTCTTCCCTTTCCAGGGGTTATTTTTAGCCCAAGGCTTTGAACGTGATTGAGTAAGACTTAGAGGCAGTAAAAAAAAACACCATAAACTCAGCCAGAACAGCCTTGGGGTCCCTGGGGTTAAAAATAGCTGTGGAGCCTTGGGGGGCCACTTGGCCCAGGCCCAGAAGCAGGAGAACAGTCCCTGGTTTCCTGGCATTTCAGTCCAGGCCTTTGGGGGCTGTTCTTTTACGACAGGCCAGCGAGCAAGGGAAGTTTCGCAGTAGATTTCAAGCCAGCTTTTCTGTTCAAAGCAAGATGCAAATTCATTTTAAAAAATTGTATCTAATTTTCTGGAGCAGAACCAGGCAGCTGTCTTATTAGGACTCTAAATTTGGATCTATTTCCTTAATACACACACACACGCGCGCGCGCGCGCACACACACACACGGAGAAAGAAAATATAACTACTTTATCACTGAAACAGTTCAGGGAAGAGCTGTATTTTTGCCTTTTTCTAATCTCTGAGATAATGTGTAGGAAAGTATTAGTTACCTATAGTAATACCAAAATAGGAAAAGCTAGCGGTCATTCTTGCAGAAGTTTGAGTCAGACTCGCATAGGAGAGCGGAGGTCTGCTGGTCATCTTGCCTTGTGCCCCCGCCCCCGTCCCAGCGTGCCCTGCCACCAGCATGTCTGCCTCACGGGGGCCCCCAGCCTGGGCGCTGTGGCGGGCGGCCTTGCCCCACCCCAGGCACACAGAGGACAGGTCCCCCAGGCTGCATGCCAGCTGCAGCCACGTACCGTCACAGCGTTTCCCACACTGTCCTGCTTACCCAGTGTGGCCTTGACTGTGGCATTGCAACAGCTCCACTGGGACGCTCCAGCACCTGTGTGTGGAGTTAGGGCCCCTTGGTCAAGGCTGTCCCAGATGTAGCACGTTTAGCGTTGCCTTCCCCTGTGGCGACGATTCATTCATTCAACAAAGCGTTTCTAGGGCACCTTGTTTACTCCAGGAACCAAGCTCCCCGCCAGCATCGCAGTCGACCAAACACAGCCCCGCCCTCCAGGAGCCTGCCGTGTTCGTCCCAGGGACAGTGTGGGAAGTGCCACTCGAGGGAGAGCGCCAGGCGCTGTGACAGCATCTCACAAGGCGGCCGCCCAGCTTTGGGGATCAGGGGCCTGCCTCCCAGAGGGGACATCGACACCCGAGTTTGTCAGAGGACTCACAGAAAGTGCCACAAATGGCCTTCCCGGCTGAAGGGATAGGATGGGACTCACGCAAAGGAGGGACCATGTGGCCTTGGGGCCTGGGTGCAGTCAAGCAACTGGAGCCCCTGGCAGTTGAGGAGGGACAGGGCGGACGAGGCCAGGGCCGTCAGCTGCCCACCCCAGAGGGTCCGTGGACTCTGCTGGTCCCTCGGGGGGCATCAAGGAGACCGCGGGCGATAGCCTGCCCTCCGAAGCAGGTCACTGCCGAGGTCACCCAGAGAGGGCACTGTGGGCAGCAGCAGGACCAGGTTCCCCTGCTTGTCACGGAAGCGCCCACTTCTTGCCCCGATGAGCTGTCCCCTGAAGCCACCAGCCTGGCTCCTTGTCCTCTCTCCAAAAGCTGTTTGAACTCAAGGGCTTTAATCTGGGCTGGGGCTGGGTTAGGGACACAAGGGACAGCTCTGGGTCATCCTAGCCTGTCTGTAGAGCCACCGAGGCTAAAAATACCTCTTGGCAGCAAGCTGGGCTGGACGCAGGGATGAGGGCGCATCCTAACACGAATACACAGGACGCAGCAGAGGGCTCCCCGACTTAGGTGTGGCGCCTTCGTTCATTGCACCCAAAGGCAGCTGCCCTTGGACAGTCGGACAGCCTCTCCCTGGGTTCGGTCACACCTGGTGGCCAGGCCTCTGCTGTGTCTAGAACATGCACCTGAGTCCCACCAAAAAAAGAGATTAAAAAAATTCAAGCACAGATGGATTGTATGCACATGGAAAATACCCCCAAGCCTAGACAGCTGCCATGGACCTCGTGGGGACAGGGAGGTCACCGGAGCTCGGCGCTCTGCGTTCTTGGGGTATGAGGCAGGGAAGGCCCGGGGACCAGCAGAGTCTCTGTGG